CCTGCAGGTGTGAGGTGCCCGGTGGCCCCTCGTTGGATGCGTTCGTGATCAGCTGTGAGACGCAGATCTGCAACACCCACTGCCCCCTGGTGAGCACTCACCTCCACCCTTGCCCCACCCCCAAGTGGTGAGCACCTGCAGGCTCAGGCCGATGTCCATCCCTCCCCGCAGGGCTTTGAGTACCAGGTGCAGCGTGAGCAGTGCTGCGGGGCCTGCGTGCAGGTAGCCTGCGTCGTGAATGCCAGCGGTGACCCCATGCACCTCTTCTATGTGAGTAGTGGCTGCCATGGTGGCCACTGGCATGGGGTTGAGTCCCGGGGGTGGCAGGCCCCAGGTGCCAGGCCAGCTGGGGGAGAAGTGGCTCAGGACTGGAACCCTGCCCCCTGTAGGGACGCTGTGGGACACAGAGACCCCCGGTGGGGCTCAGGGGCAGGGTCCTTGCATGCCAAGGAACTTGGGGGCCACAATTGCCTGTGCCTGGCAGAGGCCAGGTCCTTTCAGAAGCCCACAGGCTGGGAGGCAGACAGGCAGACAAAGGAAGCTGCCCGAGGGGAGGGTGCTCACCCTGCTGGCCTGGCCTCCTTGCAGCCTGGTGAGACCTGGTCAGACTCTGGGGACAGCTGCGTAACCTACGAGTGTGAGAAGGAGCAGGACGGGCTCGTGGTGATGACCACGAAGAAGGCGTGTCCTGCCCTCAGCTGCCCTCGGGTGAGACCTGCCGCCTACCCACCCCAGCCAAGGGGGGACTCACCCAACGCAGGGAGGAGCCACGTCAGCCCCTGCAGCACCAACGGTGTTATCACCCTCCCACAGGGGGTGCTGTCCAAGCCAGTCTCAGCCTGGCCCAGCATCCCTATCCCCATTTCTGGGAGGGCTGCCCAGTGGCCTCCCCAGTACTGACAGCACCCTCTTCATGGCACAGGACCAGGCCACACTGAGCGAGGACGGCTGCTGCCTCTCCTGCCCCACGCCCCTGCCCGGTAAGTGGGCATGGCTGCAGCAGGGCCTGATTCCAGCTGTGGAGGTCTAGGGAGGTGGGGAGCAGCGGGTCAGTCCTAACCCCCACTCCACACCCGCTCCCGCGTCTCTCCCCAGGGTCGACCTGCGCCGTGTACTACAAGCAGCAGATCTTCCAGCAGGGGAGCTGCAGCTCCGCCCAGCCCATGCGTCTCGCCTACTGCCAGGGCAACTGTGGGGACACCTCCTCGATGTACGTGAACCCCTCTCCTTGGCTGCTCCCCCAGCCCATGCAGAGCTCAGAGAAGATGTGATTGGCAGTGGGGTGCAGTCAGGCCTGCCCAGGCCCAGGGTGCCAAGCACACAAGGGACAGGACCATGAAGGGACAAGATGAGGATGGAGGGTCCCCAGAGGGAGGCCGTGGGGGCAAGATCGGGGAAGCAGCGGGGCTCTGAGCTGGGCTGAAGGGCTGGTGACAGCAGCAGGCTCTGTGCATCTCTCTCTAACCCTGTGAGCAGTGATGTCTTGGTGGTGGTTGACCTCAGCCCTGGTGAGAGTGTTCGGCCATGGCAGTTGGCAAATGAGAGCTGGTTGTTCAATGCTGGCCAGCACACCTCCAAGGGCGGGTTGTCATGATCCCCGCTTCAGGAGATTAGCCCGGTGTCCAGCACATGGCAGCAAGCTGCTGCAGTGCTGGCTGGGGAGTCCGTGGGGACACTTGGGCGGCTCCAGGCATGGCCCCTGGCGCTGAGCAGGCTCTGCCCACAGATACTCCCTGGAAGCTAACACGCTGCAGCACAAGTGCCGGTGCTGCCAGGAGCTGCGGACCTCGCTGAGGAACGTGACCCTGCATTGTGCCGACGGTTCCAGCAAGGCTTTCAGCTACACCGAGGTGGAGGAGTGTGGCTGCCTGGGCCTGCAGTGCCACTCAGAGGAGCCGGAGCTTGAGCAGAGCAAAGAAGGACAAAGCTAGGGCAGAGCAGGAGCCGGGCAGGAGCCCAGGCCTCACCAGGAAACCAACCGGCACCACATTCTCCCAACACACTGATAAGGACGTCCTGATGTCCTGCAATCTCAGCTTCTCAGGCAGCAGAACTTGCACCCTGTCCAGGTGACCAGAGTGGCCGAGATATGGTCCACCCACCTCTCCTTTCCAAAAGTGGAGACTGTGGGCCACTCAGCAGCCTCTGACACCAACCTGCCCCCTGGTGCTGGGGTGGCCCTTATCAACATGAGCCACCTGCTCAGAAAGGCCTAGAGCAGGTGGGGGCTCCTCTGGCTGGGGGTCTAGACTGCTCTTTTCAAGACTTAAGCATCACATAAGGGTCTTCCACATGACTGTCACCTGGACATGGAGATCAGCTGCTCGACCAGCTGCCAGGAGGTAGAGCCTCACTCCTACCTCAGCCCTGGCTCGGTGTCCCCCTCCTCAGGAGATGGCCAATCAGTTTCATAAATACACTTGGAGCATTTTGCAGTTTGTGGGCTCTGTGCATTTTTTAGCTTGTCCATAAAACCCAGGGTTGGGGCAGACCCAGGACCCAGGGGCACACACCCCAGGCCGGCCACCCAGGACTGCACAGCCCAGCTGACTGAGTGAGTGAGTGAGTGAATCCAGGTGTCCCTGCCTGGGCATCCAGGACAGGTGTCCCCCCAGCTGAGGGCATCTGACATGACAGGAGAGGCTGCACCTAGTGCAGGCAGCCCCGAGGGAAGTTTCCGGCTCCTTCGCACAAAGCCTCCAGGCTCCTCAGTCACCCTGATCTCAAGCTCGGGGTGTGTGCAAGTGCATGTGCCCACTGGTGTGTGGACCCGCAGGCACTCAGGAGCCCGCCAGCCCCACAGAGAGTGCAGGGACCCTCCGCAGAAGGTGGATGGGGCCCTGGAAGCCTGTCCCTCTGTTAGTCCTCCCTGTGACTGCCAATGCCCCCCGGAATCTCCCCGTTCCTAATGCCTGGCTCTCCCTTCCTTGCAGGGCTATGGGGAGGCCCCAGACACCCCCAGAGTCTCCCCGTTCCTAATGCCTGGCTCTCCCTTCCTTGCAGGGCTATGGGGAGGCCCCAGACACCCCCAGAGACACAAAAGCACGGGGAGGGCGGGCAGCACTGGCTCTGCACTCCCAGGAACTGACCAAGGGTCTGGAGGAGCCCACTGCCCAGACAGGACCAGTTGGGCAGGGGGTGAGGGGTGGGGACAGGGAAGCCTGTGGTCCCACATGTGAATCCTCAGGGGGCTGCAGCCTCCCCAGCCTGATGGTGGGGCAGGCAGGTGGGCGAGCAGCACCAGACCCGTGGAGCCGATGGGCGAGGGGCCAGAGGGACCCCAGCTGGAGCTGTCCAGCCGGGCACCCGGGGACGTCCTGGGCTCAGGGACCTGCCCTGGCCTCCTGCTGCTGCAAGTGCCCCCAGTACCCCTGTCGGGACCTGTGAACACTGGGCCATGGGTGTGGAGCGTCCAGGGGTGGATATGGGGCGTGATGCAGATGTCGTCAACATGTCTTCTGGGACAGCAGGAGGGGGAGGGACACAGTCCTCCTGCTGGGCCCCTTGTCTCACCATGGTAAACTGAGGCCCAGAAAAGCCTGCATGCCAGCGGTCAGCAGGGTGGACGCAGTAAGCTGGTCTCATGTTCCCTCACGAGGTGGCAGATAGCCAGCCCCTGTGCCTCCGCAGCTCAGGCCAGGGTCCCAGGGGTCCCAGGGGTCCCAGAATCAGTCTCTGTCCACCATAGCTGGACGGTCCCTCAAGTACAGTCCCCTCCCCCCAGGAATGGTGTGCTGAGGCCCAGAGAGGGATAGGGGACTGGCCAAGGTCTCAGGGCTGTGAGGGTCCCAGGAGGGAGAGGACAGCCCTTTACAATGGACACAGCGCACCCCCATCGCAGGGTGTTTGGGCTCAGCGGGAGGACTGCAGCCCCTCCCCCCCCGACCCCCGGCCTACAAGTCGAGGCCTGCGCTGGTCATCAAAAGGGGGGTCAGAGGGCACAGCGGTGTCCAGTCTGCCCTCCAGGTCTCCTGGTTTACAAGGGGCTTTCAACCCAAGAGCCGGCTGGCGACATCGTGCCCTCAGGGTCAGTTGTGTCTGGGGGTCGGTGTGACAGGTTCCCCTGGGGCCAGCCCCGCACCTACCTGGACTAATCCAGCAGCGGGGCCAACCTCGGAGCCTGACTCCCTCTTAGTGATGGAGGGAGGGGACAGAGGGGCTCCCCAGCCACAGCTCTGTGGCCCCCTGGCGGCCAAACAGGAAGCACAGGCTGGGAGCCCTGCGGGCCTGTGGCTGCCTCCCACGCCGGGCACCCGGCTGACCCCACTGACCTGACAGCCACCAGCATTCTAATCACACCGCTGCCCCCTGGAGCGGATCAGGTGTCCGAGCAAGCCGCCTCTTCCCTCAGGGTGGGGTGGACGCTGCGGTGACTGATCCCCCACCTGCTGGGCTGAGGACGGCCTTGGAGAGCTCCCACGGCTTCGGCTCTCCCGCCACCGCGTCCCCTCCCTGCCTGGAATCACGCAGAGTGGCAGGAAGTAACCGGATAGCGAGCCCTGGGCGGGAGCAGCCGCCCTCCCTGCCCGCCCACCCTGGCCCCCACGGCCCCTGGCCAGGTTATGCAAGCCATCGTTTCCGGAAAGAGCTACCGAGCTGGGCAAAGCCCCAAATGCCTTGGCAGCCATCCCTGGGCTCTGCCCCCTGCCCCTGCTCCTCCTGGACACCGGGAGGGGAGCGTCGCTGCTGCCATGAGCGGGAGAGGCCTGGGTGGGCCAGCGCGGGCCTGGGCGGCTCTGGACTCCACCTCTCGCAGGTCCCGTGGTCCTGAAGACCCTCCTTGGAGTCTGGCCTTGGTCTCCCGGGGGGCTGAATGCTCACATTTTAGGGTCCTGCCCTCAAGCAGCCATAACCTATCCCAGTCTGATGGGGAAGGGTTGTCGCACCCTCATGTCTGGGGGTCCATACTGGAGACATCTTCTGTCCAGATAAAGGGACCTGAGAGGGGTCCTGGGGATGGGGAACTAGAGGGATAGAGATGCAGATCTCTGGGGACTCTGACCCTGGAGGGCAGGTCAGGCTCACCCCGGCATGCCCCCCTCCCCAGGCTACTTGGAACCCACAGACCCCCACCCTGGCTCTGACACGCAAGAGAATGCTGTCTGGTCCGAGGCCAGAGCTGGGGCGCCGGGGCCCCACGGGTCAGCCTAGTCCTGGGGCCCACACAGGAGGCAGCTCTGAGCTCTTTGGCCGCAGATTGACCCGGGCCCTGGGAGGCAGGTCAGCTTCTCAGACCACCTGTCTGGCCCAGGAGCACACGGGCAGACACGACGACCTCAGGGGCAGCCAACGTTAGCCCTGGGAATAGAGAGGCCTGCGAAAGATGATTTCAAAGAAGCCCGGGTGAGGGTGAGGATCGGGGTGGGCGCAGGAGAGCAGGGGCAGGTGCCCACCCGATTGTATGCTTGCTGCTGCCATCCCTGTGCAAGACTGCACACACACAGCCCGGGGACACAACCTTGCAGGGACAAAAACTGTGGAAGAAATGACCACCCGCATAGGAAACCTGACCGATCCAGCAGAGAAGACACGGAGACCAACAAGACAGTCCTGCAGGGCAGCCAGACACGGGAGCAGCCCCCAAAGTGGTGCCACTCCTGCACGCCCTGGGTCACCGCCGGGAGTCGTCATGAAACCCATCTCCAGCTGCATCGCAGCCGTGGGGTGAGCAACCAACCAGCAGGGAATGTCCACGCCTTCAACAGGGGACACAGGGGACAGAAAAGAGGACGACAAGTGGAGGGGAGGTGGATCCCCATGGGCGGCTCTCCAGGGGTCACCTGTGAACCCGACCCAGAAAGAGCTGCCGCTGGTGAGGTCTGCAGAGGAAGTTGGCAAACTTGCTGTGGATCAACATGGACGGACAAAGGTCCTCAAATATCCGGGTCAGTTTTGAAATGGAAAAGCAAAGAGGGTGCTCCCTGCCAGCCGGGAGGGCTCCCACCGAAGCGCAGGAGGGGGCAGCAGACGCAGCCAGTGGCTCCCTGGTGTGGTACAGCACACGTGGCAGCCCGGCCGCATGGTGGGAGCGGCACACGGGCCTCCGTCCTGAGCCTGTGCCCGCGGCCATGCGGGGTTCCATGCAGGGCTGGAGCCCTGGGGCAAAATAAAGCAGGAAGGGGAAGGAGAGACGGAGACATCGGGTGGGGTTGAGATTTGGGAGGGCAGAGTCTGAGTGAAGGGAAGGGTCGGGCGTGTGATGGGGCCGTCCCCAGCAGAGGGCCCCATGGCGGGGGTAGAGCAGGTGATGCTGGGGACTCCAGGCGACTCCCAGACTCCTTGAGGCTCTCTCTGTGACCCAGGAGTGGGGAGAGAGCTTCCAAGGCTCCACCAAAAAACCACTAAGGATTTCTGTTCCCTGGAGTCTCCGGGGACAAGGTGACCGGGAGATGAGACCAGGGGAATGCGTCTGCAGCATCTGCGGCTGACTCGGGCCACCTCCCACCACCGTGGCTTTCTTGCCCTACTGGAAGCCTCATGACGCTCATTCAAGCCACCTCAAGGGCCGCATTCAGGTTTCCACATTTTCACAGAATACAAGAAAAATAAAACATTGTTACAAAGCTCCTGTGTTCTGAGTCCTGGATAAAAAAGTATTTACGACTGAGGGTCCAAAAAGCGTGGACACCACGACCTGCAATATGCCCGGAACTGTAGATCAGAAACAGAAAGACAAAAACCCAACCAGACGTGGACAAGGACGGGACAGGGCAAGATTCCGAGTCGGGGAACCCGGGGGCTGAGGTCCAAACGGGTGACCAGAAAAAGGCACATTCCGACAGCGGGGAGAGGACGTCATGAGCAGAACCCACACCTGGTGGAGAACCCACACATGTGGCCCGCTGGGGGGACCCAGCCTGAGACCAGGTACAGGGGTCCTGTCCAGGGTGCCCACCGTCGCGTGGTCCATGGCAGCCAACTCATGGCGCCT